TGTTTGGGTTTTCTTAAAAAAAAAATTGTGAAAATATTCAAGCTTGAAAAAAATAGTACAATAAACACATGTGTACCCTTGTAGATTTAGTAGTTAACATTTTGCTATATTTACATTTTTCTCTCTTTTTTACAGATTTATTTATTTATTTTAGAGAGTGTGTGTTTGTGCATGAGCGGGAGAGGGGTGGCAGAAGAGGGAGAGAATCTCAAGCAGACTGCGTGCTGAGGGCAGAGCCCCCCCACTCAGGGCTCAGTCTCACAACCCTGAGGTTATTTCCTGAGCTGAAACCAAGAGTCAAATGCTTAACCAACTAAGACACCCAGGCGCCCCAACACACTCTCCCTTTTAACAGCTGAACCATTTGAGAGTTGTAGACATCATGACACTTCTAAAAACTTCAGCATGCTTTTCCTTTATGAATATGATACTATTATCATACCTAAGAAAATTAAAAAGTACTTTCTTATTGGCATCTGTTATTAGTCTTATTCAGATTTATCCAGCTGTTCTAAAATGTCTCTTGTAACTTTTTTCAAAGCAGGTTCCAAACATAGCTCATGTTTTGCCTTATTTGGTGTAGACCACTAGTTCTCAACTGGGAACAGTCTTGCCCTCCAGGGGGTAATTGGCCATGTCTAACGCCATTTTAACTTTTTCCTTTATCCTTTGTATTTCCTATAAATAAGAAGTTCAGATTTGAAGTTTAATGCATCTTTGTTTTTTATACTTCATATTGCACTGCATCAAGAGGTTGAGTCTGGCTATTTGGCTCAAGTAATGAGTGTCAGATATCTACAGTGTAATTTTTCCTCTGTGAGCCTTTGACAGCTTGCATGTCCTGTTAGCCATGATGTTTTAGTATATCTATTGATGATCCTTACCCTAATCAGTTATGGGGTTGTAAAGAATGATTCTTTTAAACATGTCATTCTTTATTACTGGCATTCTTCAGTAAGAAAGAGCCTTTCTTCTCTCATCTCCCCCTTTTAGTAGTAGTAAAGATTCATGAATTTTTACTTATTCAATATATTAAAGTCAATTTTAGTTATTATTTTTTGTGCTCCAAAATTTATGCAGGTGTTGTCTCCTTCAGACTGTCTCCTTTGTGCCTTTGAGGTGATCTCATTAATCATTTGAGCACTTTCTTGTTTTCTCAGCCCAACTACATAGCTCAGGCTTGCTTTTAATTTTTCCAGCCCTAGTCATAGAACTCGCCATTTCTCCAAATGCCCTTGGACCTTTTAGTCGGGAGTGGTATTTAGAACTAAAATCTGGGAGTGAGGTATGCTTATTACTACTGGGTTGCCATTATTTCTAAGCCCTTTTAGTCAACAGAGCTATAAAATACTTTTTAAATTATGAGTTCATACTTATATGTACAATTCAAAATTAACCTGTTTTTTTCTTTTTATTTTATATATTTTTATTTTTTATTAAAAATTTCAGTTTCAGGGGCGCCTGCGTGGCTCAGTTGGTTGGGCGACTACCTTCGGCTCAGGTCATGATCCTGGAGTCCCGGGATCGAGTCCCACATCAGGCTCCCTGCTCAGCGGGGAGTCTGCTTCTCCCTCTGTCCCTACCCCCTCTCATGCTCTCTCTATCTCATTCTCTCTCTCAAATAAATAAATAAAATCTTAAAAAAAAAAAAAGCTTTCCATTAAAAAAAAAAATTTCAGTTTCAGCCTGGGTGGCTCAGTCGGTTAGGCATCTGCCTTCATCTCAGGTAATGATCTCAGGGTCCTGGGATGGAGCCCACATCAGGCTCCCTGCTCAGAGGGGAGCCTGCTTCTCCCTCTCCCTCTGTCCACCCAGCCTCAACCCCTCTACCACTTGTGCTCTCTCTTTCTCAAATAAATAAAATCTTTTTTAAAAGTTTCAGTTCCTGGGGCGCCTGGGTGGCTCAGTTGGTTAAGCATCTGCCTTTGGCTCAGGTCATGATCCCAGGGTCCCAGGATCAAGCCCCACATCGGGCTCTCTGCTCAATGGAGAGCTTGCTTCTCCCTCTCCCTCTGCCTGCCACTATGCCTACTTGTGCGTGCTCTCTCTCTCTGTGTGTCAAATAAATAAATTTTAAAAAATTCAGTTCCTGTTGATAATAATGTAGTTCTTTATTTGCTTTATCCTACAGTAAATATCCAATGTTGCAGAATTATAGTAATTAGTATTCTACCTGAATTCTTAGCACTGTAACCTGCTGAGTGAAGTTAAAGATGTCTTTTGTAGTTTGTTTTTTTGTTCCTTAAAATTTACCCCACTGAAGATGTATAATCAGAGTATTATGTTCAAAATTGACTTGAAATAATTATTTTCTTTATATGGTTATGTCAACATTTGATATACAGTTACATTCATTTATTTCTGTGTTCAGTGTTAGAGTTTGCTTTTTTGGCTTGATTTTGTTTTGAATATGTAAAACATTTACAATTTTTCAAAAGTCAAATCTATATAAAAAGCTATACTCAGAAGTCTTGCTCCCATCTCTATCCCTTCCATCCCATAGCCCTTGTAGATAACCATTTTCATTAATTTCTGGTTTATCCTTCTAGTGTATGTGCTTTTTGTTTTTTACAAAACCAAATATATAGAGAGAGGTAGTTGTTTCTCCTATTTCCTTAAACAAAATGTATCACTATGTATGTAGTGTTCTATTTCTTTTACTTAATTATTCTGGAAATTTCTTCAATTTGAGTTTCTGCAGTTCTCCTTTATTCTTTACAGTTGTATTATATTTCATCATATGGCTATACTGTATATATCCATTAGATTGCTTCTAATACAAATAAGCCTGCAAGAAATAACTTTTCATATTTACATGGAGTATATCTTTTTTTTTTTTTAAGATTTTCTTTATTTATTTGTTAGAGAGAGAGCATGAGTGGGGGGTTGGGGTAGAGGGAGAGGGAAAAGTAGACTCCCGGCTGAGCAGGGAGCCCATCTTGGGGCTCCATCCCAGGACCCTGGGATCATGACCTGAGCCGAAGATAGATGCTTAACCGACTGAGCCACCCAGGTGCCCCTACATGGAGTATATCTTGAAAGTAGAGTCCTAAAACTGGGATTGCTGACTCAGTGGATGGATGAATAACTGTTTATATTAGATGTTGTCAAATTCCCCCTCCATTGGGAATCCTTTGGATAATAATCCTGTGGGATCTTAGACTCCTACCTCAAATGTAGGGGAATATCTTATCTCTCCACAGCTTACCAGTGTCAGATTTGTGAATTTTTGCCTAAGAGCAAAAGAGTGAATTCCAGCATAGTTTTCACTTGCTTTTCTCTTATGAGGGAGACTGGAAATTGTTGCATATGTCATTTACCTTTTTTGTTCTTTGAACTAGATGTTCATATCCGTTGCCCATTTTCTGTTACAGAGTTTTTGCTTTTTGTCTTCTCCATTTTTAGTTTTTTATACCAGGGAGATTAGCCTCTTATAAGTTACAGATATTTTCTCCAAGCTTGTCATTTGTATTTTGACTCTCCTGCCCCCACATGAAAATTAAATCTTTTCTCATTGCTTCTGGAAAAGCATTTGCTATTTCTTTATTACAGAGAAATTTATATTTTTTTGTAGTGCATATATTGTTTCAGTTTTTACATTTAGACCTTTGATTCATTCATGTAGAATTTATTATGGTGTACAGTTTAAAGTATTGACCCAAATTTATCTTTCTCCAAGAGGCTATCCACTTCCACCACTGTTACTTAAAATGCCCATTTTTCTCCAACAGTTTAAGTTGGAGCAGTTTTAAGATAAAATCTCTATCACGTACTAAATATTCGTGTATATATGGATTTTTTCTGAACTTCGTTATATTCTAAGTGTTCATATGCCTTACACACTTTTAATTGTAGTGGTTTTATGTTTTAATATTTGTAGTATTTAATATGTATTTAATATTTGTAGGGCCAGCTCCCTTGTGCTTCTTTTTCAGAATTCCCCTAGCTGTTCTTGCCCATTTGTTTTTACATATTAGAATCAACTCATCTGGCTTCAGAAAGTTTTTTATTTTTTTAATTTTTTAAATTTTTAAAAATTTTATTTATTTGAGACACACAGAGAGAGAGAGAGAGAGAGCACAAGCAGGGGGAGCAGCAGATAGAGAAGGAGAAGCAGGTTCCCTGCTAGGCAGGGAGCCTGATGTAGGGCTCAATCCCGGGACCCTGAGATCATGACCTGAGCTGAAGGCAGACATTTAACCGACTGAACCACCCAGGCACACTCCCAGAAAGTTTTTTAAAAATTATTTTCAGTGGAAACATGTTAAATGTAGATATTCACTTAGAAAGAATTGACAGCTTGGACATGTTGATGTCCAAGTACAAGAGATGTCCTCATCTTGTTCAAGTCTAGTCTACTTTTGGGACTTTCAGGAGTTTAAAAAATATATCCTGATAATAGGTGTTGCATTCCAGGTATTGTATCTTTTCTGTCACTGTTATACATGGGACCTTTTCTTCCACTGTATCTTTTAGCTGGGTATTTTATATATATCTATAAGGCTTCCATTTTATATCGCATTACCATATTGATTTATTTCAATCATTCAATTTTAGCACTGAATTTCTTGTATTTTCCAGTCATACTATCATATCATCTGCAATTAGAGATGGTTTACTTCTTCCCTTCTGGTTCTTACACTTCTGATTGTTTTGTTCTGTCTGATTTGCTGGCTAAAACTTTCAAAACAAGGTTAAATAGTTGTGGGGATGGTGGGCATCCTTGGCTTGTGTGTACTTCCCATCCCTTGAACAACGCATAAATTAATAGAAGTAAAGGTCCTTGCAATGCAAAGAATGTAATTCTAGATAAAACCATTCCCCCAAACCAGTAGAATGAACCATCTGAAAATTTCATATACTACTGGGAAGGTACAGTGGGCTCCTGTTAAGTGACCATATTCTTAATTCCAATTTTCTGTAATTTCAGCCTTCCAAATGAAGTTGAGGCTTTTTTGTATGCATTTGTTGGATTTAACTGTATGCTTTTGTAACTTTTTTTAAATATGGAATGCTCCACGAATTTGCATGCCATCCTTGCATAGGGGCCATGCTAATCTCTGTATTGTTCCAGTTTTAGTATGTGCGCTGTTGAAGCGAGCACGCTTGTGTAACATTTTTAATGAGACTCGCCCGTCCTTGGATATATGATGTTGTAGGTTGGCTTTCCTCTTGCCTGTTTGTATGCTCAGGCCATTGGTAATTAGATTTATACTCTGAAAAACAGGGCCAGGAAATCATTATGTCTATTTTCTTCCCCTCAATAAAGCTAACTCAGACATTAGAAATTATATATATGTCTTTAAAATTGTATTTTAACTGCTTAATTTTTATAAAGTGTAGGATGGGAGCATGGTCAAAGTTCTTGTTTCTATTTTTAATAAGATAGCATAAAAAATGGTGTATCTAACTTAGATAAGTATACATATATATGATCTTTAGTGCCTGATCTGTTATAGGTGCTGAGTACTTCTAAGTTGAAGCTGACAGACCAGAAAACTGCATTACCTCCTCCCTTATAGGGATACCTCTTTAGTGAGCCTGATATCTCCGAAGAAATGAATTAGATGGTAGATTAGGTAGGTTGGGGATCTGGTGCTGCTCAATTAGCTTTTCCCAATCAGAGACATTCCACTGGTCCTAACAAAGCCTGTGAAAGGTGGATCAGTGCTACTAGAAAAACAAAACATGCTTTATTTTGAATGAAGCTTGTAATTGATTTGATATGTAAAAGAAAACACATTTCTCAGCCCCGGTAAGACATGGAGTGCTATAATGGAGAATGAGCTCTGGACTTTGAATCTAGTCATCTGGGTTATAGTCCTGGCTCTTTTTCATCTTGAGCAAGTCATTTATCCTCGTTAGGTCTTCCTTACCTTCCCATCAAATAGTAAGGTTGGCCGGTACCGTTAAAGATCTCTTCCACATCTAAATTCTCAGATATTAGAGAAGTTACGAGTATGGTTTTGACTGTTGGCATGTTGATGCTCTTAGTTTAAGCATTTTAATCCCCATATCCCTATTTTTATTTTGGCAGTAAGTTACTTTAGGTAAAGGGAATATATGTAGTATGTATGTGTTTGTGTAGTGCATTCTAAATTTACATGAGAATAAAATACAAGTATAGTTTTAGGCCAGCACCATCTGTTATGGAAGAGTTCTATGGGATCTATTCTTAACTCTTGGGAGTGACAAAAATTTCCCTTTCGTTTTCATGATCTTCAGACTCTAATCAATCTAAATATGGGAACGTTATCCCAATCCTATTCCTTGCTGCTTTCACGTTTTCAGAATTCTTTGCAACAATGTTTTGTCCTTTGATGGTGAGCTCTTTAAAGATTCAGTCTTTTCCCTTAGGCTGTTGTCTTATCGAAACGGAATGCTCTGGTTTTCAATCTGTTACAGCTATTATTACGTGAGTCATCTTGATATTTACCTTACTTATACATTATGGCTTCTCCTTTATTCATTTGAAGAGTGCCAATATTAACAGGGAACCAAAGGGCAGGAAACCAAAAAGGGAACCAAAAGCAGGAAAACAATTGCAAACATACTTCATTTTAGAGATCGGGTTTTTTTGTTTTGTTTGTTTGTTTTAAGATTTTATTTTATTTATTTGACAGAGAGGGAGAGAGCACAAGAGGGAGAGAGCACAAGCCAGGGGGAGAAGCAGAGGGAGAAGCAGACTCCCCGCTGAGCAGGGAGCCCGACGCGGGCTGGACCCAGGAACCCTGTGATCATGACCTTTAGTTGAAGGCAGATGTGCAACCAGCTGAGCCACCCAGGCGCCCCATGTATTTTATCAATAAAATATCAAAGTGAATTTTTTGCAAATTCATTCAATTGTGGAGTAAAAATAAATATTTAAGATTATGTTGCTATTTGAATCTGAAAAGCCAACTGTTCTTGGGTTTTCTGCATGTTAGATCTACTTGTCAGAAGGGGAAGAAGTGCTGACCATTTATAAGGAAGGATGAGATGAGTAGATGAATGTGATTAAGAGGCTTCTGAGATGGTGAGTTTTTGGCAAAGTTTTAGAAAATAACTGGATTGATGGGGGAAAGAAGGGTATTTTCCAAAATAATAAAATTAGGTTTCTTTCTTAATCTTTTGTTATATGTTAAACCATGAATAGAAAAACTTAGTGTGGTTGGTTGCCTGCAATTTAAAGATTTAAAACAGAAGTTTGGGGAATAAGAACTGTTACCTGTCTTTAAATCCATTGTTAGAGTGAAATACTATACTTGGTCCCAGATAAATGAATGGTACTGAGCATCTCTCTTGTTATCAGCAGTAAATGATGTATGAAACAGATAAATTTGAAAGTTGCAGAGCATAAGATTTAATCTAGTTGAGTATACATAGTTTACATCTTTTTCTTCATAATTGAGAATGGTTGACTTGGTGCAAAAAAACATAGCTTCTTAGCTGCTATACTGATATGTATGTCCAGGTATTTTCAGAAATTCGGGTTTATGATGGCTAAAATCAAAGCACAACATTTGGTGACCAATTCCTAGAAAATATACTCATAAACGCATAGGATGTGCATGACAATCATAAAACAGTTCTTTTTAAAATTAAGGAAGGTACTTTATGTTAAATTCTCAGAATGAGAATTCTCAGAATGAGCCACGCGGGCACCCCCTAAAATGAAGCTTTTAACCTCGTATTTTGTAATGAAAATTTTACACTGCTCGCGGTTTTGCTAAAATAATATGTTGTAAACACTTAAGTATTTTAGTAATGGACATTTAGTAGACATTCTCTATTACATGTTTGTGACAGAGAAAAGTAGAGACTGAGAGAAAAGGAAGCTTGCTTGATGTCACAAGCATTTAGTTTGTCTTATTTACTTTTACATAAAGTAATGACTTTGGAACTTTTCAGCATATAGATTTGAAATGGATTTGGAATGATTATCCTTAAGCATAATGTATCATCTGTCCTTTTTATGGGACTTTGTTCTTATGCCTTCTATTGGGAGAGGTAAAACAAAGCTACCTCATATTCATAAGGAAGGGGCTTTTACTTTTTCTAAAGTATTTTCTACCTTTTTTTTTTTTAAGATTTTATCCATTTATATGAGAAAGAAAGAGAGCACGAGCAGGGGGCGGGGCAAAGGGAGAGGGAGAAGCAGACTCCCCACTGAGCGCAGAGCCCTGACAAGGACAACAACAGCAGCAGCAGCAACAATAATAATAATGCAGGGCTTGATCCCAGCGCTTGAGATCACGACCTTAGCCAAAGTCAGACACTTGGTGCCCCTATTTTCTACATTTATTATGGGATTGTTTTTCTGTTGGATCCCTCTGTTTGAGAGCCTCTTTTGGTTTCTTAGGTTTAAGTGCTGAGATTGTAGCAGTTTTGTTGTTTTTGCCTTTGCTTTGTGATTCTCTCACAGTTAGAGAATTATAACAAGTTATCTCTCAGGTACATTTAATATATGTGAGGCTAGACAGTTCTCTGGAACAACTCAGGAAAACCTGAAACTATTCATATAGGTATCTTATTTGAATATTGGATAGATAAATTTGTGTAGTAGATATTCATTTGACTATTAAATAGATACCTATTCAGATAGGTATTTACCTTTTGTGTCCTGTCTTCTACTCCCTATTCAGTAAACTAATATTGAGTGTCGTCCCTAAACTGTTACTAACTTATCTAAAGGTTATTATAACAGGGGCGCCTGGGTGGCTCAGTCGTTAAGCGTCCGCCTTCGGCTCAGGTCATGATCCCAGGGTCCTGGGATTGAGCCCCGCATCAGGCTTTCTTGCTCAGCAGGAAGCCTGCTTCTCCCTCTCCCACTCCCCTGCTTGTGTTGCCTCTCTCACTGTCTCTCTCTGTCAAAGAAACAAATAAAATCTTTAAAAAAAAAAAAAAAGGTTACTATAACAAAATAAATTTGCCTTTCATTTTACCTTGTTGGTAGAATCAGTAGGGGGTGGCTTGTGATTATGTGACATATTCTGAACATCTTTTAGAGACTAATGTGCTATATACATTTATTTATTATTTGGAAAATACAGGGTAAAGTCATTAGTGTAGACTGTGTTTCTCACATTTGAATTAAACTTGTTACACACATCTATAGTGTTACCCGTAGTGGATGTTCAGTACATATTTGTTAAATAAGGATACTTGGGTTCTCTTTCTAGCTCTGCTACTATATAGACAGTTCTCCTATTTTGCTGTCCATACCCTTTTAGAATTCAGCTGGTTGGCATTTCACTAGGATAAGCTACAGGGCCAAAAAGTACGGGAAATCAAAACACTGAATGTTTTAACAGGAAAAGAGTTGGCAGTGGCATGGTGTGCCACTCCGAAGGTAGAGGATGAGACCTGATGTGTGCTGCCTTGAGATAAAATGGCCAGATGAGGTGGAAAGAGCATGGTTTAATCCACGTGTCAATCCAGATACACTTTGCTTGCAGCATTAGTTTGTTCTGTCATCGGGAACATAGCCTTGTGTAGGGTATAGAGATTGCCCAGGAACTGGAGTAATGTTTATTTCTGTTATGAATAACCCAAATTTCGTTTGGCTCTGGGCCAGTAAGGGAGTGTATAAATTCATGGCTTCTTTAGAACCATTTTGAGAGTAATTTCTTTTAAATTAGTATTCTTTCTGCAGTTAAATATAGAACATTGAATTTTGATGCACACCCTCTCCTTCCCACCACTCTGTCATTTACTTCCCACCCACTCTTACCCAGGACTCCATCAAGCTTCAAATTTCTTTTTACCAATATTTCCATCTGTCAAACTATTTCTTATCTATGGCACCGTATAAGATTAAGAATGGCTCTCTATGTCAGTGTGAGATGAGTGTTCATAGCCCAGGTAAGTAAGTGGGTGAAAGAAGCTTCATCAGACTTGTTCTAGCCCTACCACTATGTAACATTCTCTAAGGAGCTCTGCTGCCTTTTACAACAAACAAGGAGTGGACTCTTGGCCTCTTCTCCTCTAGGTTTGAAACTTGAGTAGGGTGTTGTAATTTTTGTTTCTTGTAGTTAGGAACTTCTCCCGTGGTCCAGTATCAAGGATCACCTGTTCAGTCCTATTTTCTCCAAAGAGTAAAGCCATGATTTCTGACCTTCTTTC